CTTTTGTCCTGACGACACTCACTTTGTTTCCAGGTACTTTTGATTCTTGGCACTTCCTTAAATGCTGGGAAGATGTAGATGGTCTTTTAGGAATCACCTTAAAATTTGAAGATGATCTGACCCTTTTTTTGTAGACGGGTTTCCTCACTGGTTTTGGGTTTTGTTTGAAGCTGTGAAGGCAGTTGTCCTTGGCGGGATCGAAGGTGGACTGTTTTCAGTCTAGGCTTCCGCACATAGTTACTTTAGGAGTGGATGCCTGTATTCCGATAGTAACTTAAAATACGTAGGTCTGTTTGCAGAATGTTGTGCTTTGAGAGCCCAGTGTTATTCCGGCCCGGGACGGCCAGGACAGGTGGAAGATTTGAGACAGACAGTTTAATAACAGTGCTCAGAGGCTACAGAAGCCTCTTCCTGCAGGAGCGAGCCTCCATTTGGAGGCTGTGACAGGGCCCCTCAATCCGGAAACAGGCACAGGTGTCTGAGACTGCTGCTGAGGGCACTTGCACGAGGGCGGGGCAGACGAGAACTTCAGGGAAATGGCTGCTCCGTGCGCGGGGGAAGCCACGGAGATGCCGGCCCCGGGACCCCCACCCCCCACCCCCGGGGCCCAGGCTGGCCACTGAGTACAGGTAGGCAGAGGGTAGGTGACAGGAGGGTGGGGTTTCCGGTCACATTACTTCCGACTTTAAAACCGGGGGGATGAAAACCGTTCTGATACTAATGTTCCCTTTTTTAAAACAGTTCATCTGACAAAAGTGTGAAAGTTTGGGATGTTGGAACGAGGACTTGCGTGCACACCTTCTTTGATCACCAGGATCAGGTATGGCCCAGTTCCTTCGTGTCCGCTGGCGTCGTCTGAGCACTGCACCCGCCCTCCCCCTTCCCCGACCCGCTGCCGGGGCCTTGGGGCTCCCTCTCAGTGTCCGGCCAGCCAGCATCCTGTGTCCTGTCTGGGCTGCGGGTGCTGCGGATGTGCTGGCAGCCTAGCGAGCCGAGAGGCGTGAGAACGTGGCGGTAGCCACACTGCCGTTCGGGGGCCCGCCGGGAGCGCTGTTCCGGGTGCGGCCTGCCGTGCAGCTCGGGAAGGGCCTTCCCCACAAGTCGGCACTTGTCGTTTTTGGAGCTGCCCACAGAAGTGATGTGATCTTTTTCTTTTCTTGTTCTTTCCTTCTTCTTTTTTTTTTTAACATACTCGAAGCCACGATTTCTCATGGGTTGTTTGGCTTTATCGACATAACTTTTGCATCAGTGTTTAAATGAGGAAAAGGGGGCTCTGTTTTCCTGGGGGCCTTGTTGTCTCTGCCAGTGTGGAGGTGAGTGGAGGCTCCGGTGGAAGGCAGAGGCCCACTCAGTAGGTCTGGCGTGGGGCCTGGGGCTCTGCATTCTACCCGGCTCCCCATGAGGCCAGTGCTGCCGGCCCCAGCCATTTAGACTAGCAAGTCTTGGGAAACTGGTTAGTGTAAAAAATAAAATGCCCAAGGCAGTAAAAAAGTTGACTTTCAATACATAGTTGTTTTTATGATGATGCTTTCTTTTTTCAAATTTTATATTTGTTTAAATAATCTGTATATAGGCCCAACATTGAGGCTTGAACTCACAACCCCAAGATCAAGAGTTACAGGCTCCACCAGCTGAGCCAGCCAGGCGCCCCGTGTCCCCTTTGGAATGCAGCTTAAAGTTAGCATAATTGTTCATGCTTTTTTCCGTTTGATCTTAAATCAGTGCTAACAGAGTTGAGGGAATTTAGTCTTGATACTTCACTTCTGGATTTAAACATTCTGCCGTGGGAGTAAACCCCCCTGGCTGGCCGCGTTTCCCCGTGCGAGAGGCTGAGTGTGGTGGTCTCGGAGGTGGTGTTTGGGTGGCAACGCTGAGATTGCGGCTGGACACCCCCCCCGCCCCCCCCGCCCCACTGGGGATCAGAGGGACAGGCTGACCTGAGGGAACTCCGGCCGCGTGTTTTGTCAGGAAGGCAGTGTGACTGTGCACTTGAACACGCAGCAAGTCAAGTCAGTGCCCCGTGACGTCTAGTTATCCAGCTTGAGGCCTCTAGTCACAGGGGAGGATCGTTGGCTGGGGGGCGGGGGGGGCGTTAGGTGAGGGGCCCCTGAGGTCACGCCCCGGGGATGGTCCTGGGGCCTTTTTCTTTCAAACGCAAGCCCATGCCGCCCCCTGTGGATTCCGTCTTCACGGCATTAGGTCCTTCCTCGGGTTCTGAATCTTGAAAGGTTTGTAGGTACACAGATTTGTGTTTAGAAATGAGATCTGACGGAGTATGGGAGGTGAGGGAGTGACGACAGGAGCAATGCCAGATAATCCCGTTAAAGAAAAGGCCCCATCTTGCTGGTTCAGAAAACACGGAACACTGTCCTTTTGGTGTTTTTCTAGATTTGGTACGATGAGAATAGAGGAGGATGTTTGTTCATAAAGAATAAAGACATGACAACTTTGTTTTTTCTTTTTATTGGATTTACAGGTCTGGGGAGTAAAATACAATGGAAATGGCTCAAAAATTGTGTCTGTCGGCGACGACCAGGAAATTCACATCTATGATTGCCCAGTGTGAACACCAGTCTCCCAGACTAATGCTGCAAAGAGAATGTATACATTGATCGTGACATTCCTTACCTTCCTAGCTTAACAAAACAGAGCATTTATTGTAGCAGAAACTTAAATTTTGTAGATATGATATAAATCTTTTCATGTTTTATTGGAAATGCTGTTCATACTTTAACAGTGTTCGTGACCCAGACACCGGTGTTCTTGAAAATACTTCTTCCGTGCACCCTGCGGCCGGCAGGAGAGCAGGGGGAAGTCGGCATCGTGCGAAAGCAGGTAACTGTCCCAGAGATGAAGGGACCCAGGCACTTAATGAACTTGCAGTTTAGAGGCACAGGCTTCCTCCTCCAGGGTGCCGAGTCACACAGAAGCGGTTTGATAAAGCTGATCGGTTTCAGAACGGGGTCCTGAAGGGTTAGGATATTTGGCCGGGTGAGAATGTTCAGAGTCCTACCTTCCTGGGCATCTACTTGGTGTTTTGAAAATGTCCGCTGCTGCACTGTGCACTCTGTTAACTTTAGAGAGGCTGCCTTGACAGCGTCTTTGGGTTCCAGCCCTGCCTCGGTTTCCCCGGAGGACCAGTACTTCGGTTCTCTCAGCAGCCACTTGAACTTGGTTGGCATAGAAATGGCTAGCACTCTGAAGCTTGCTGCTGTTTATTAAGAACCTCGTGTGCCTGTAAGTCCGGTCGTGGCTTTTCCCCAAACCCCCATCACCTCCCTCTCCTGTCTCTCGACCTTGGTCGCCCTCCTGTAACCACAGAGCCCTTGACGTTTCCTCTGCCTGTAGCGCCCCCACCCCCCACACCCACAGGGGGGCTCTTATGGCTGCCCCCTCCTTTCCACAGCCGTCAGCTTGCCCTTCTCACTCCAATTACAAGCTCCAGGACAGTGGAGGCCGACCCATCAGATCTCCATGTGAGGCACTTAACACCCCTCGTTTGAGCTCGAGATCGTTTAAAAAACCAGAAGCATCCCTCATACCAGCTCAGTTTTAATTGTAAAGTGACAAGTGTACAGGTGGAGTACGTTTTAAGCAACACCTTCCAGATCCCACTGACGCGCCAAGGAAGGGGCTGGACGTAGTTGTGCCCCATCAACAGCAGTTCTCAATGGCAGGGGGAGTCACAGCACAGAAACAACACCCTGGAACCGTGGTCCATTTGTGAATGGATTTCCACACAGGCTGAGTTGGAAAAGGAGGCTTTAGGCCTGTCCTGACCAGTGGTCAAAGCAGGCCTGGGGTGAGGGGGGCTCGCTCTCTCCTTATTTTGATCAAGTTATGCCCAACACCCCCACCCCCTCCCCCCCTCAGCCAGCAATGCCTGGTCCCCCCAGACACTCGTCCTGACTGCCGCAGGCCTCCTGTGCCCTTCGACCCTGCTGGGGGCGGCCCCGGGTCTGCAGCAAACTCCGCTTCTGCCGAACCAAGGAGGGTGGAACATACAAGCGGCCTCGGCTTTAGCCCGCCCAGCGGCTTAGGGGACAGTTTCTCCTGACCGCCATGTAAGGACCGGGCCAGGAACAGCTAGAGCCTGAGGCAACCCTAAACATGAGCTGCGGTCGGCCTGCTGGGAGTGAAGCGATAGCTGTCGTCCTTCGGAGCAGGCCAGCATTTACAGCGGTGGCCCACACCGCAGGCACGGCAAAGCCCGTCCGCGCGCTTCTCGCCAAAGCAGCATCACGGGAGCAGGAAGCCCTCCGCCACGCAGCCGACAAGAGCAGGGAGCCGGGTCTGGGAAGAGGCGACCGGGCCGTGGCGCCCAGGCCGGCCCACCAGGCTTCCCCCACCGCTGCTGCCGGAGGATGTGGGGCCCTCGGGAGGGCTTCTTTCTCTTTACAGAAAGCACTTTGGTGGGAGCATAGCAAAGATGGTCAACAAAAACTCATTAAAACCACAGAGAACAAGGTGTGGGGTCACACGCAAACAGCTATGGTGGTGCTTCGTTTGGAACACGGACCCCACAAGGCCAGGAAGCTTCCAGGAGACGGCCATATTCGCACCCCATTCCAGCCAACAGGACAGTAGCCACCACGCTGGCCCCACAGCCCACGCGGTGTGAGCCCGGCCCGAGAGCCCAGTCCAGCCCGCGGACGTGCCTTTGTTCTTGAGGGCCCTCAAGAATCTAGATCTGGAGATGTCACAGGGGCAGCCCCAGACGAGGCCCCAGGTCCCTGCCCTGCGACCAGAAGCACAAAGTGTCGGTGAGGCCAACCGGCATCTCAAAAGTCTCCTGAAAATGGAAATGAACAGATCCCGTATGCAGACCAGAGGTAATTCACACTCAGAACATTTAAATATAAATTAAGCTATAACTTAAGTTACAACCAAAAGAACAACAGAACCAAGGCGATGCTCGGCAGCTGAGGATGCTGGACACACACACGGACACGCCACACGCGGGGCCAGAGGATGCTGCCATCACGCAGGCCAACTTACACTCAGCCACTGCCTGGCACTGCACTCGCCCGCTGCCCGCCGTCGCCGCCCCCTCGTGAGGCTCCCCTGTGCTGGCGCCAGCCCTGCTCGCCGGGGTCGAACTCCTTCAGCTCTACCTGGTCCATGGGCCGGCCCATGGACTTCTCACCTGTGTCAGGGTAGAGGCCTCCAGCTGGGGGAGCTTGTCGGGGGGCAGCCAGTGTTTCTCGGGGAAGGTGACCTGAGGGGAGGCCGAGGGCTGGTTCCCGCCTCAGCTCCCCCCCCCCACCCCAACACCTCCAGGACAGGCCTCGGGAGGACAGGCGGGAACTTACCAAGAACTGGATGATCAGAGTCCCCTTCTCCAGGGGGGCGCCAGATCGTGGGCATCCTCGCCTGCACACCTCAGGTCCCCGTAAGCGATCACCTCCCCCAGCCGCACGTGCTGCCCTTAGGGAAGCAGGGAAGACGGGGTGTCCTACACTTGGCAATTACAGCCTCAAGGGCACTCCACCGTCAAGTGCTTGGCTTTAAAAGTGAAGGGGAGCCAGAACACCAGAGTCTGAGGGGCGCCTGTGTCCGCAGCTCCAACCTGCCCGCCTGCCTTTGGGGTCTCTGCGGCATTTTTCCAGAAGGCATGGCGGTGAGGCCCCCCGAGCCTCGCACGCCATCTCCTGCCTGACGCAAAGGAAGGAAGGAGCTGGTCCCTACAGAAGGAGCTCCCCTCGGCTCAGTAACGCGAATGCACAAACAAGGAGGTCGGGCGAGGAGACACCAAACGTCAGCAGCCCGAGGAGGTCACAAGAGATGCAGCACGCTGACTTCTGGGCCCCTTCCTCACTGGGCCTCCTGGGCTTGTCTGCTCTTCTTAATCTCCACTCCTCCTCGCCTGGGCCTCCAGCCACACTGGGAAGCCACACGCCGGGAGGAGGCAGACAGGACAAGTGGCTGTTCCTGGCACCTTCCTCAAGGATCCTAAAGGCCCCAAGACTCCGCAACAGGAGGAGAAGCAAGCAGCGAAGCCACAAGAAAAAAGCCCGAGCAAGGAGAGACGGTAAAAGAAAAAAGGACAGGACGCAGAAAAGAAGAAACATGCAGAAAGAAATAAGTGCTCGCAGATGGTTTCCGGAGCCCCGGCCCTTCCTTGTAACTAAGGGAGGTGGCGGGGGTGGGGGGTGGGGGTAGCCTTCCCTGGGCCTGGTCCCATGTCACCCACCCCCGACCCTGTGGCCCAGGACGAGCTTTCCCGGAGCTGACACAGCCACCAGCCCAGCGGCACCGCCATCAGCGGGGGCCCTGTGAGCAGGTCATGAACCCGCACCTGCTCACCGCTGCTAGCCGGGGGCCCTGGGAGCCTCAGCCTTTCCCGCCAAGCCAAGCCAGGGGGAACGGGACCTGGGGAGGAGTCGCAAGTGTCACCTTACGCTGTGGGGCCTGATTATGTGCAGACGCACACACAACAAACGATCAAACGGTCAAATGTTAACAACGGGCAAATCACGTAGGGGGCCCTTGTACTGTTTTTACTTTTACGACTTCTGGTTGGTTTGAAATTGTTTCCAAACACAAAGTTCAGAAAGAAAAAACTCTGATAAAGGCTTGGCTATCTAATTCCACACGCTTCTGTGACAGAAGGGGGACACAGAGCAGGGGGAGGAAAGCGACAGAAACAGAACAAGGCCACAGAGGGAAGTGAGTGAGAGCCGGCAGAGGGGAGACCGGCAGGGAGCTCTGGGGTCCCCTCTCTATGCCGCACCTTAGGGTCTCAGTGCCGGCTGCCACCGCCCTTGGACAGGCGGGTCCCAGCCCAGCCCCAGCCTGCCCCTGCAGCCCTAAACCCCGGATGCCGCTCTGCTCACGGCCCGACGGGGTGGAGGGAGCCTGGGTGTGTTGGCCACACCTGTGCACACGTGCTCTGACACGGATGGTCCCTGGCCCAGCCCCTCCCCTGCCGTCCTCCCACAGCCCTTCCTGCGAGGCGCCCTGCTGCCCACACGAGCCTGCTGTCCGTATGCGAGCTGGGCGCCCGGGCCCTGCAGGACCCTCGTAGTCCCGTGGTCCTGGGAGGGCCCCCCGTGTGTGCAGACGGGCAGGTCTGTGGGAGCATCCGTGGCTAAGCTGACAGGCAACGTCTTTTTCTCGGGAAATTTCTACTTTAAAACGTCTCCCACTTGTAGTCGACAGTGCAGCGGCTGCGGGGACACGTGATGAGCCAGCCACAGCCTGTTGTCAGCTGTTTTCTTACCAAACTAATTTTTAAAAGCTTAAGTTGGCAGGTCCCAGTGACAGTGCTGGACCTCAAGATTCCTGTTTGAGGCTCCTCCCCCCGACTCTTTCCTTCTAGGGGAGTATTTTAAAAATTCACAAAATTCCCAAGTCGTTGGCGAGGACTTTGACCTTAGGGAAAGTGAAGTCACGCTAACTTGCGTGACGGAAGTCCCCCACCCGCAGCGTGAAGCCAGGCTAGCGGCCAGCAATGTCATACGCGGTCAGCACAGCAGGGACGGACACACCTCCGAAACATTACCTGCCTTGGACGTAATAACGAGCACGCGATCGTCCAGCGTTTTTATCATCTTCTTGAAGCCACAGAGGGCTTCAGAAAGCTGAATTTTCATTTTCATGATCAAGTCGTGGCCTCGCCTCTGAAAGACACTATGATCCTTCTGATCAAGCACAATTATGACATCGCCAGGCTCCAGCTCAGGCTCCTGATCTCCTTCTCCATGAAACAGTATCTTTTGACCGTCTTTCATACCTGTGAGACATCATCCTTTCTGATTAGCACTTCTCTTCAAAACCATGCTTCCTACAGAGCTGTGAAGGTGGCACAGAGTCCTCTGGGGGTTTTACTCATCAAACCTCCCAACTTGGAGGGAACCAGAGCGGTGGCTGGGATCACGCCCCCCACCCCACCACATGGCGCAGCGGGGATGCCCTCCACCACCGCGCACATGCGGTCTTCTCGCCGCACGCGTGGGGCGTGGCTCTGGGGCTGCGTGCACACGGACACAGGGTTCAGGATGCTTGAACAGAAGTCCTTTAAGAACACCTGTCAGTCTGGGTATTGAGTTGTGCACTTTGGTCTCATCTCTCATGTAGCATATATTCACCAGATTAGGAATCCACAGAATAATCCACGGAGAACCGCTAACCATGCAAAAGGCCTTCTAACGATGGCGCAGGCACAACAGACGGCAGGGGAAGGTGGGGGCGGGGAGGATCCGAGGCAGCAGAGGGATGTGTGCAGAAGGAGCACGCGGCCCCACGCGCACGAGCTCTGCGGCCCACGTTCGCCAGGATCCTCCCAGTGACTCTAACGGAATCGCTAGAGGACGGCGGGAGGACAACTGACCAAAATCAAGGTCCAGTGACTCTCAGAGCGCTGGAAAGCCCTAGAGAGGGGGTTGTTTTGGTCTCAAGGGAGCAGACCTCAGCAAGCAAACAGACAGGTGAAGGGGACGACGGAGGGACCTGGGGGGACGAGAGGAGGCAAGAGGGCTCCGGGCACATCCGGGGTCCCTCGAGTATCTGCAGCGTCACAGACCTCCCTTCCCGACGCCAGCACGCGCCGCGGTCGGCACCGAGAAGCGCCTCCAGCCGGGGAGCGGCGCTGGGCGGCCTCACCTTTTTCAACGTGTACCTCGATGATCTTCTTCTCACGGGTCACCTTGGCACCACCGCAGATCTCACAGCGGTCCCTGGGGCTGATGCGCTCGCCCTGGCCCTTGCACTCGACGCACACGGTCTGGATCTGCTGCACCACGCCCGGCCCGACCTGCTGGATGTGCACCTGCATCCCGCGGCCCTTGCACAGGGGACACTTCTCCACAGAGCCCTTCTTCCCACCAACACCTGGGGGGCAGGAAGCAGAGCTGGGCACCAGGGCACGGGGGACACGGGGGGACTGGACTGTTTACAGTCACGGAGAGCAACGCGGCAGAGTCTGGGCGATTCTAACGGAGCGGGTAGCATCCAGACGTAAACGTGGGGTCGCAAAGGTTCGCGGTCCCGGCCACACCAAGCCAATTCATCCCTTGGGCTTCCTCAGCCATGTCTTCTTCTCCCCTGCCCACAGGTGGCCGAGTGGGCCCGGCTGCGAGTACTGGAGGGGTGGCTCCCCAGCTCGGCCGACTCAGGACAACGTGCGTCCGAGGTCACCAGATACTATTTTTCTTGAAAAATCCTCTTTTTAAAACTTGTGTTCGTGGGGCGCCTGGGTGGCTCAGTGGGTTGACTGTCCGACTTCAGCTCAGGTCATGGTCTCACAGTTCGTGACTTCGAGCCCCGTGTCGGGCTCTGTGCTGACAGCCGGGAGCCTGGAGCCCGCTTCGGACTCTCTGTCTCCTCCTCTCTCTGCCCCTCCCCTGCTCCCGCTCTCTCACTCTCAAAAATAAACATTAAAAAATAAAAAAAATAGGGGCGCCTGGGTGGCGCAGTCGGTTAAGCGTCCGACTTCAGCCAGGTCACGATCTCGCGGTCCGTGAGTTCGAGCCCCGCATCAGGCTCTGGGCTGATGGCTCAGAGCCTGGAGCCTGTTTCAGATTCTGTGTCTCCCTCTCTCTGCCCCTCCCCCGTTCATGCTCTGTCTCTCTCTGTCTCAAAAATAAATAAACGTTGAAAAAAAAAAATTAAAAAAAAATAAATAAATAAAAAAAATAAAAAACTCAAGATGCGGTGAACTATGCCCAGCTGCCTGGTTTTACAAAGCTTCACTGGAACACGGGCACGTCTGCTCATTTATGCCAACGGCTGCTGGCGCACTGAGAGTTGAATGGTCCCCAGAGACCATGCGGCCCACAAGCCTGAAACACTTACTATCTAGCCCTTTACAGAAAAAGTTTGCTGACCCCTAAGTTAGGTGAATCATCTTGACTTTATTTATTTATTTATTTATTTTTTTAAATTAGCCTCCACACTCAGCATGGAGCCCAGCTCAGGGCTTGGACTCAACCCCGAGATCAAGACCCAGGCTGACGTCAAGCTTCGAATGCTGAGCCGACTGAACTACCCAGGCACCCGACTTTTAAATTTTTTAAATTAACGTGTTAAAAAAAAAGTCACTCCATATAAAAATGTACAGGGCAGAGTGACACAGATTTGGCCCTTAGGCTACCAGTTTGCAATCTGTTTGACCCTTATGTTCGAAAAAACCAAGTATTTTCCTCTGAACTGTAAACCAGAACCGTTTCGTCCTCTAAGGGATCAGACCTATGTGACTCATTCAAACGTTAATTTTTACCTTCACATTTTTCACAAATTACGTTTTTCTGGAGGGCCAGCTTCTTTGTGACTCCGTTATATAAATCTTCGAGAGTTACAGACAGCTGATGTACAACATTCTTGCCTTAAGAGAGGAAGAAAGAACACCTGGGAATATGGTATTAAACGTGCCCACGGGACCCCCAGATGCGGGCACCTCCAGAGCCCGGAGCCACACCCATCACTCACTGTCCCGGTGCTCCCATCTCACCGGCCCACCCTCCGGGCCTCTGCCAGCCAGAACCAATTCTGTCCAGTGATTGATAGATGTGGACAAAACGACTTCCCGTCTTTGCTTTCTCAGCACCCCGCTGAGGACGGAGCGACCACGGGGGACCCGGCCTGGGGTCACTGCTGTTCCCCACGACAGGGCCTCTCCCGCACAGGGGAGGCAGGACTAGCAGTCTAGGCACTTTAACTGGAATTCTAGTCTCCCCCGAGCGTAATGCTCTCTACTCTTTGAGCCCTTCTGTCGTCTGTGGCCAAGTGGGAACTCTCCCCTGCATTTTTGGGGTGGGAGTCTATGGTGACCCACAGGGTCGGAACCCCCCCACCCCGACCGTGGGACCCTCACGCTCCCCAAGACAAGACCCCCCTTCCCCTGCTGCCCGTGGGACCCTCAATCCCCAAGACAAGCTGCCGTTTCCTGGCCATCAACTTTGAGACACAACTTGATTCAGGGCGTGAAGTGGTTCATCTCAGGGCAGTGAGGGCACCCACGGTTTTAATCGTGTCCATAACGTCACTGACAGGAGCGGCTACACACCCGGACCACGCGGGGAGACTTTCCTAACCTCCGCGTGATTTTCGGCTCCCTGTGTTCAAGACTTGACACCCAAGCTTCTGAAGCTCAGTGTCTGTCATAATGTAAAAACAAAACCCCCTTATTCCCCCAGGGCCTCTTGCCGACCCAAACCACCACTCTTAAACCCCAATGCAGAGCTTGCTTCTTCTGATTTTACCCAGGATTTTAACAAGCTTGGCTATCTATCTGGTTTCAAGGTCCAAAGCAGATCATTGACAGGGCACCAGAAGGGGGAAGGGGCAATTCGAGACCACGGCTAACAGAGGCGGCAGAGGACACAGCCTGGTGGGAGGGACGAGGTGGAAAAGCAAATCCCAGCATCAGAAACAGCAGCCTGGGGCCACTCAGCCAAGGCCGGTCCCTCCTGCAGCCCCTGGGGATGAAGCCGCTAACCCACAACACGTTCCAGAGAGAAGGGGGTGAATCGTGTCACCTGGAAAATTGGAGTGGGCTGAGAAAACAAGGCCACACCGCAGAGTGCCAGCCACACAGAGCGCAAGGCCCCTGGCCAGACAGGGGGCAGAGACAGCAGGTGCCATTATGTCCCTCAGGGCACTCAGGGGCCTGACCCCAAGGACAGAGAAGCAGAGGGCAAGATGAACCTCCTTCCTGGCCACCAGTGCACTTGCTCCCTTTCAGGTCGTGTCTGGAGGGTGTCAGGTCAGTGGTACGCGTGCTGAGACATTCCAGGTGCCTGGATACCCGCTAAGGGGTGAACCATTTAAAGCTAGAGACCCCCAAACATGATGTGTGTGCCCTGTTAAGGCATAAGCCGTCTTGATTCCAATAACACGTATGATCTGAAAACTATAAAATTTGCCGAACGTCTTCAACAAGTATTTACCTCTTCTCTCTCTTGCCATCCGTCCCCCGCCACCAAAGAACATGTCAAATATGTCCATGGGTGACGAGAAGCTGGGGCTGCCCGAGCCTCCTTCCTTAATCGCCTGTTCACCACCCTGGTCATAAATGTCCCTTTTCTTTGGATCCGAAAGCACTTCATATGCCTGGGATATAAGCTTAAACTTTAAGATGAAACGAGAGAGAGAGAGAGAGAGAGAGATTACAATGAGAGAGAGGAGGTTTGAGGACTTTGTGAGGCACACCCGCCATCACAGACGCCACGGCAGACACGTCCTGCACCTGCTCCCCGACGCCAGCAGCCTGCGCCCTCTGGAACCTGGCTTCTCCGGGAAACAGGGCCAGCCGAGTGAGGGGCTGGTGGCAGGGCCTCTCGGGAGAGCAAGGGGAGCTCCTCCAGCCTCGGCCACCCGGGGCTCCACCTACCACCCGACGGCACCCCGGCCCCCCCCGGCCCCCGGGTGCAGCCGCCTCCCAGCTCAGGAGCAGCTTCCCTGCTTCCCTAGCACGAAACTCAGTTACAGACGCCCGTGCATGCACCCGTCCCCACGCGCAGCTGTCCCCACGCGCAGCTGTCCCCGCGCATCTGTCCTCCTGACCTTGCCCTCGGGCTCCCCATCTCGCCTCCCGCCAGCACCAAAACCTCTCTCCTCACATCTCATCTGCCTCCCAATGTTTACATCCAAGGCCCCAAAGTGGACGAAGCACCCCATGTGTCGCCCTCCTGCCGAAACTGTGTCACTGGCAACCAGTTATTAAAAAAAAAATGTCAGAAAACCCCAATTGAAAGACATTCTAGAAAACTAAGTGCAATGTGACCCTGGACTGGGGAACAACGGTAGAGAAGACACTGGGACAAGTGGAGACATGTGAATTTGTTCCTTGGGGGAGAGGCGTACGGCTGATCCGTGCGGGGATGTGGGTTTTCCTCGGCAAGACCTGCCAACTTTCTGGGCCGAGAGCTCACGCTGGGTGCAGCTTCGGGTAACCGTGAAGAGACACGTAGAGCAGTCACAGTGACACGTTTACAGTGCGAGAAGCTGGTGAACGAAACGCGCGTGTTCACACTCCTATCTCCATCTTTCCGTCCGTGTGTGCAAGCTTTCAACATAAAATTAGGACAACATAAAGTATCTCCAGCGCATCCGTGCTCGCCACACCCCAGGCCGGCTCCGCAGAGGCGACCGCCGCGACCTCGCCCCTGTCCCGCCTCTCGTGCTCATGCCAGCTGCCGGTGCCACAGTGAGTCGGCCCGGGCCACGGGGTGCCAAGGCCAGACCGCACGTATCCTCAGACTGAACCCCCACTGCAGCTGGGACAGCTTCGTCCCCTGCTGGGACCCAGAGGGACGCGTGGCATGTGGAAGGCACTCGGTACTCGTTAGATGAACGGCTCGATTCTGGTGGGGCTTCAGAAATGCACCCAGGATGCGGGGTCCCGGCCCTCCAGAGGCACTCCCCGGTCTGAGACAAGGCTCTACGTGAATATCCCGTAAGGCAGCTGCCTCCGTAAAACACACAGAAAAGAAAACGCGCTATGAAGCCACAAACACGGGGGCGCCTGGGGGGCTCGGCCGGTCGAGTGTCGGACTCGATTTCGGCTCAGGTCACGATCTCACGGTTCGTGGGTTCGACCCCGAGTCGGGCTCTGTGCTGACAGCGCACAGCCTGCCTGGGACTCTCGCTCTCTCTGCCCCCGCCCTGCTTGCACATGAGTGTGTGTGCACCTTCTCTCTCTAAATAAACTTAAAATACACACGTCTGCAAATCTGACAGAAGTACTACATTTCCTCTTGTGTTACAGATGCCGGGTAGAGATCTAACATGTACCTAATCAACAAATGACAGCTAGTAACTAGGTAATTTTAAAAATTAAGTCTTCAAGGGACATCAGATCCTACTCCGGGCAGCCAGACCTTCTGCCAAGTTAATTCTCCGCATTTCCGCAAAGCAGGAGGCACCAGTCACGACCACCGCTCTGCACAGCAGAGTGCGGGGATTAGGTGCCCGGGACGTTAGCTCTGACCGCAGGGAGACCACGCTCCCCCCCGACCCGAGCTCCTGGGCCTGTGTGTCAGGGAGCAGGTATGCTCCCTGAGAATTTCCACAGGAAGCACTCACCAAATATCCTGGATGCCTGAAAGGCACCTGGACTTCACTGACCCCATGATTAGTCTGCGGAAGCAGAAGCGACGGCCTGTCCGGGAGGCCGTGTCCCACGTGGGAGGGGGCCCCCACTTCTACCAGCCCGTCGCCCCTCCCTCCTGAGCTGCAGCACTCTAGACCCCAGTTCAGGTTCGCCTCACTGCCGGACACTCGGGCTCCGACCGGCTCACCTTTCAGTCTGCGATCATTCGCCACCCACCTTAACGAGATTACTGTGCAGCGAGGAGAAAAACGGCTCTGGAATGATGTCTCAACTTGGAAAAGTACTTTTGATAAAATACCATGTAGCGAGAAAAAAATGTACCAGGATGACCACGTCTGATCCCCCCGGAAAGAGCTGCCTGCAAAGAGGCACCGTCACGGCAGTTAGGGTGATGTGTACTAGATGGTTTTTCTCTACGTTCTGGTATTTCCTGTACTGTTATGCTCTCTTTTATGATTTTTCAACTTGAAAATCTACGATCCAAACTAAAATTTACGGTGCAATGGGCCAAAAGACGGGATGCATCTCAAGCTGATCAGGGTAGCAGTCCAGATGCCCCCAGCCCTGCCCGAGAGGGACTGGCTTACTGGTCCCGCCAGAAGGGCCCATGGAAAGCTGGCGTGACGAGGGGACTGCGGACTCCACAGGGCACCTGATGACAAACATGGCCACCCGGTGCTTAGCAACACAGGACAACAGGGCCCAAAACAAAGGCCGACGGCCATCTTAGCGGTCTCCCTGCAGGGCGGAAAGACCGGCTTCATCTATTTTTGAAGAGACATTAATAATACAGTGACAAACCTGGGAAGAAAATAAAGACTCTACCTGTGACACATCAAGTGGGTGAGAACTGCCCACAGACTTGAGCAGACAACACAAGGTCTACGCAGTGTGCCCAGCACACAAGAGGCCCAGGAAGGAGGCATCTGGTGAAGAATGAGTGAGTCTAGGGAACCCTATGGCACAGAGTTTCTATGAATTGTGTCCAGTCTCCTCGCCCCCTGTGATCTCCGACCCAATTTTCACGGAGCGCCCGATGCCCCCTCCACTGCAAAACCTTCCCTCCGGAACCGCCCCCTACGGGGCATGCACACCCCCCCC